GGATTGATTCCTTGATCACTTCGAGCCAATTGTTGTTGTAGTTTTCCATCAGGTCCACAAAATTGATATCCAGCAATATATAATTCTATAAAAGCAGCGGTATTTAAACCCTTGCACTTAGTTGACTTCGAGATGGTGTTTAAGTCACATAATTTCGAATTATTTGTGGAAAATCACGAAAATATTCTTCCAATAAATAAAAATATGAAAACTAAACATCATGGAGAATTACTACCCAATACTATACGCTCAGTTATTCGTGGGCCATCAAATTGTAGGAAAACAAATGCATTCTTGACTCTCACAAATCATCAATAGGTTATGTTTTAAAAATATTCATCTTTATTCTAAATCATCTAATCGACATAACTATAAATATTTAGAAAAAATTACTTGAGCCATGAGAAAAAGGTCAAATCCTATCCAACTAAAACGAAAACTATTTCATCATGAAGAAGATGTTTTTCTCCTTCTTATGTTAATATTAAAAAAAAGAAACCTAAAAGACGCAATCAAACAGCAGAAATTGAAGCAAAATTAAGAACTATGAGAAAGTTAATTTCTGAAAATATTATAAAACAAGAAGAAAGAGCCTTAGGCATAAAAAAATCTGCAGCAATCATATCAAGCACCCCGTTCAAAATTACAGATATATTACAACAGTATCTAAAGATGCTTAGAGGAAATAATATAAATATCGACACACAGTGTGGTGTAAGAAAACTTCGAGGAAATATCCTTTACATAGGAGATTCTGAAATACGTTTTAAGATAATAAAATTCTCATTGCTGATTGTGTATACACAAGTACACCTGAACTACTTGAATTATTATTTAAAATACTTTCCAATAGTAGTTTTGTTGTTGATGAGCAAATTTACGCTAAAATTGTTGATTATACAAATTTAGATAGAAAAAATTATGGTTCAAACCAATTATTGAAAATTTTTAAGTGTAAAAAATATAGGGCATATATTGAAAAGTATATTAGATGTAGATTATCATCTAAAGTCGGAAAATTTCTATTCCAACATAAAATATCTTTGAAAAATTAAATATCAAATGTCATCTGCTGGGATGATCCTAATGAACTCGTTGATAGATTACGATTACTCATGGCCTCTTACAATGCCGGGAATAATGCTTATTCAAATAAAACAATTTCAATCATTGAAGAGCTCAGGGAAGCAAATGTTAAAAAGTAAAAATTTTAACGTAAAATTTAATCAAAATTCATTCAAAATCTAATTACAATTTACTTAGAATCTAAAAAAATAAATTCTCCAAAATTTCCATGATATATAAGTCTAGAAAATTGAGTATTTTTGATTTATGTAGTGGCTACCGTACAGCTGACATGGTTACAATAAAAGGAAAAGTTGTAAATGAAGAAAAAAAAAAAGGAAAAATAAGTATCAATCATCATGATTCATATTAAACTCCCAATTATAATCAACGTCAGGGCTCTCCAGGAAATGATTCAAATTAACCAAGAACAATAACTATGATGTTGATAGTGAAAAATTGTGTAATATAGGTGATGCGATAAATTTGAGTGATGCTATGTCATTCAAAATTTTAAAGAATACTTCTGAAGGATTGAAAAAGCAAATTAAATCAGTTAATAATAAAATGGGAAGGCTCAATAGAAGAACAACGGATATAACATCCAAGATTAAAAATGGTGTAGCAGCATCAGCACAAATTTCATATTCAAATACACTTGAATCTTATACATCTTCTACACAAAACTCAATCAATACAACAGTTCAAGGTTAACAGTACTAATTCGATGAATTAGAGACGATAATTAAAAAAAGAAGGTATATCTTCTGAAGTATAGTCAGAAACTTATCATTGATGTGTTAACTCTTGTGGTATTCACATCATTTTTAGAAAACGTTGGGAATCTACTCATGGTCTAGTGAGAGGACTTCCCTTAATTGGTTTATAATTAACTAGTGACGATCAGTTTGATATTGATGGTAAACGATTTGATCGTACATTAAGAAAAAAGTAGAAACAATCTACTACAGGTGGTAATTACAAGTGGATTGATATTTTATCTTCTCTAATGAAATCATATACTAATAAAATACATAGACTATTATAATATAACCGAAAGATGTAACAGTTAATGATAAAAATAATTGCTTCAAGATATTTGTAAGGAACATATTTATTCAGTAAATAAATGTTTAAAATTAAAATTTAAAATTAGAGATAAAGTCTAGTTCTAGTTGTTCCCAATTTTTACAATATTCATATAGAAATACACCTTTACGTATTATTAAATTAAATGATTCATCCTTGGGGAACTGAATACATGTAATTTTTTATCATTACTTAAAAATAAAAATAATTTATCAATACTAGAACACATAAAACGGAATAAATCTGTAAAACAAAATTGGGGTAGAATTCCGTACTGGGAACACCTTCAAAAATCCATTCTTTGTGCTAGGATACACTAAGATAGTGAATAAATTTATTGAAGCCGGATGAGGGACGGCGCAGGTCAAGGGGGGAGCCACATATGACGAATACAGGCACGATTTAAGGCGAATTATATTGACTGGCAAGATAGCTTAACTGGTAGAGCAGCCAGCGCGTAACTGGAAGGTCCGGGTTCGCGTCCTGGTCTTGACAGAATATATTTACCTCTGAAAATTGTCTTGAGCTAGTCATGGAGTAGTCTATATGTGTTTAATTGGCTAAAAGCGAAGGTTGTAACGTTGTGAGCATCACCCTCCCCTTATTTACTCAGCAGTCGGTGAACAGCTGATATAATTAGTTCACCGCGCCACGATAGCGGTTGATAATTACCGACCGTCATCTAAGGATCAACTCTATATCGATGAATTGAATACTTATGAGGGTGTTAGGGCATTTTCCCATGACGTCACAATTGCTCGCGAGTATTTTCTGTTATATTTTTATGATTATTTATAAAATAGCTAGCCAGAGATAATGAAAGAATATTAATAAAATCTAACGACTTGAGCATTAAACTAGTCAGAGTCCGACCTAACAAGGAAACCTCACAAAGTGGCCACCGTTGATTTAGCGGAGGTTTCTATATAATAATCTACGTCGAAAATGATGAACGGCGTATTTTTTCCGGCGAAAAAACGTTTTTAAGAAATAAAAATCACCCCAAAGTTGACACTCTATAAAGGTGATCTTTAATTTTCACAAATTTCTGATCGAAATTTTCAAAAACGACCTTATACGTTAAAAACAACATAAAAAATGGAAAAAATAATTTATTTGCATATTTACAAAACTTACAGATATGCCTTTTTTTCATTAAATGTAATAGAAAATCTATAACTCAAAAACTATCATTTATTTTTTGAGGAGATCAATTTTAATCGTAAAAGCATGAAAAACTATGAGATACATGTCTTTGTAGTTTTCAAAATAACATGAAAATCGAGACCAAAAAAAATACTCTCTTTTTTCCCAGATTTGTATCAAAATGAAGAAGATGAATCATGTATGTATTTATTCATTTTTTACATATATGATAATCATTGTAAAAGTGATTTTTTACACCATGCACAACGGATAATTGCAATATTTTTACATCCTGGAATTTCACAATGAGACTTACAGTTATCTTTAAATGTAAAATCAGTTGGATGTTCGGATTCATCTGTTTCAATTTATGTATTACTAAACAAAATCTATTTTGTTTAAATGAGAATATTGATTATAAAAGTATAATGAAATAAACTCGTTAGAAAATCTTAGAATTATAATTATAAACTAGTATCATGAAATAATGAACTAAAAATAAAATCTTTGTACTAATCTTCTACAGAATTTTCTGCTTTTCGCATAAACTTCAATATTGCAATGTTTTTACTGCAAATTTTCGTTCCAAGTAATTCGTATTCGATGTAATGAAGAATATTAGATGAGCTGGAGGGTACTTGCGATGCGAAACAAAATATGCTGAGATTATTCCAAGAATGATATTTTCCATTGATGGATTTCTTATTTCCATCATTACATTTTCATCTGCTACTATATAAGCCTTTAGTATTGTTTTTTTTCAATATAGATTACTGCTTTAGGTGCGTCATATTCTTTGGTTGTCAAAGGTAAAGTTGATGACATCGCCTATATCAAATGTACCAAAACATATTAATAAAGTATAGTAAATTTAAAATAAGTAAATCATTTATATATATTCAATTATATTTACAATTAATAATTTTTCAATTCATATACCTCTTGCACAACGAATAATGAAGTAATTTTTTTGTTAGCAGTAAGCTTTTTCGAAGTTAATTCTCTGTATAATTGAGTCATTATATGACTTTTTAAACGATCATCATTTGCTTCAAGTGAAAAATACTTTAATAGTTTATTTATCATCATTTCTATTGGATCAAAAACTGTAGTTTCTGTCAGGTTTTTTAAGTTTAGAAGCTCGAAAAATATTTAGAAATCATGGAAATGCAATAGGTTTTAATAAAAGCAATGATGGAAACTCGATTTCATTCAGTAAAATGTTAGATATCTATTGCTTACCATTTTGTAGTGCTTCAATGCTGGATATTTTATAATGATATGTGTGATCCTGTCTGCTCCATCGTTTGTCTAGAGTAATTTGCAATGAATCTTTAACATGGAGGATGTTAACATCTTCATCGCAATCGATTTCTAACTCTCTCAACGCAGTTGGTATGTCCATTTCAATATTTCTACACATACACTGAGAAAAAAATTTCGTTGAATAAAAAAAATTTTTTTTTAATCAATAAAAGAAACTTCGAATATTCTCAAAATAATATTTTATTCAGCCTAATAGTAGTGTTATTAAAAACACATTTTGTCTTTTGTTCCAATGTTGCGACAAGTTTGAAAACAAATTTTCAAGGTTACGACAAGAATGAAAACAAATGACATTTCATTTATTTGAGTAAATAAAATGATTTCAATCAAATATTCATAATTTCGAAGAAATATTTTATTGCGACTATTTGAAATTTCAATGTTAATGATCAAATGAAATATTTTTTGTATGAAGTAAATTTTTTTCTCAGTGTACATAAAACAACAGTACTTTGTAGGAAGTTCAAACATTTGTTCATTATTCAAACAATCTCATTTAACTTTAACAGCTGAAAATCATTATTATTACTATCCATACGAAGGAGATGGAAGAGCCACAGCTAGTTCTGATGGTGGTTTAGGTTTGGGGTTTCCTACTTGATCTCGTTTAGTGCTTTTCCTACTTTCTGGTGCCTTTAAATTTCTTCGATGATTTCGAATCCATGAACTTAATTGAGTTCGAACTAAACCCTATTTATTTTAAAATTATTGAAATAATGTTATAGAAATAGAGAAATATTCTACTTGATCAATCATGATATCAATAAAGTAAATTGTTCACATTACTTACATTTCCACTGGGACCAGCAGATAATTCTAAATATTCAGCAACTGAATCAGAAGCTAAATTACCATACTGATCTTTTGATGGAGTCCCATCAGTTTCATTGTATAAATATTCACCCCAAAACGCAATAAATTTATGTCGATTTGCAGCAGTTATTTCTGTTTTAGAAACTGTTTTTCTTAGATCAACTGTTGAAGGTCTAATAAGAACAACATTTACATCAATACTATTTGCTATAACCTTATCTTTTTCAAGTTCCCGAAATTGATCATTTCTTCCAGCATCTCTTATGTGTAAGAAGATGTCATGATTTTTCATTTTTCTGTCTAATAAGCTGTCTGTTAAACATGCTTGTTTCAACCTACTGCGAATCATTTCAGCGTCAGTCATATTTTTGTCTAATGTACATTTTAAACACTTGCACCTTTCGCCGATAATGCAATAAACAGTTTTTTCCATCATTAAATGTTAATGTATTCAACTTTGAAATATTATCATTTTAACACTATTTAATTATTGAATTTTGATAACAAAGAACACATACATCTAGCAGCACACAAGTACATCTAACAGCGTCACTTGTACACATAATTTTGTATGTTTATCTATAAAACTGTGCTATTTATATGTATTTCAATTGTAAAAGTTGTATGATATCGTTTCAAATCTATTTTACCTATAATCATTATATTTACAATCACCTCTCCCAAAAAGTAGCTATTATATGTGTACTTTATTTTGTAGTACAATTAGATTTTCAACACGTGTTATTTCATGAAGTTTATAATTTATTGACTCGTGTAATACTCTAATGTGTGTTGCGAACCTTCGCACGTGTCGCTGTAACACGTTTTTTTGGAATTTAAATTATATGTGTGTTGCTTCTTCAGAGTTCAAAAGGTGTGTTATACGATTAACACATATTTCTAAATATTACACGTGTTGAAATAACACACAAACACACCTGTTACTAATAGTTTAATACACTTAAAATAAACTACATGTTCATGTGTGTAACAATAATACTATTCTTGTAGGGGATGATGAGGAGAGTATTTGTGCAAATTTTCATTACTTGGAAACAATAATTACTATTGTTTATCGAGTGTCAAAGTTTGGCAAATTGCAATTTTCCACCTTTCATCGCTTACGTAGCGAGAACGATAAGAGATATAAAAAAAAAGTTAGCATCTTTTTTGTACAGAATCGAATTCTCTACAAAAAAGTCCGCCAGAGCACCTGTCTATCGTGGACAGGTAAAAATGAAGGCACGCTAGAAATCGAGCATTTTGGGCGCTCCGGCAGAATATGCTGTTGAGCGCCTTTTTAATCAACATTAAAAAACAAAAATATTTTCAACATCTGAAACAAATTGGAAAAATTATAGAATGTTCAGAATCGTTTTCTAAACAGTTTCCAATTAAAATTAAAAAAAAAATTAATTTTCCGATTTTTTATAGTATCTGAAGCGACTTTTTCAAAATTTTTTTCGTGAAGTTTGCACCCTTATATTTTTTTCGTTTATGGGCACATTTTATAGCCAATTCAGGAGCAGATAGGACTTTTTCCGCTCTATAAAATGGCTATCTCAGTTTTTTTGAAAAAATATTTTTTAATACCCAAAAGTATCCAAATGTTGTTTTTGGATTCTTTCACCCTTATTTTGGGAGTGAAGTTATTTTTTAATATGAAAATTATGTATAGCAAAGTTTCATATCTTCATGTAAAGAGTCTAAAACAATTTTTTTCAGCATTTGTTACAGATAAATTTTATAAACAAATGCGTAATTTTTAACTATTTAAAATTTTTTTTTTATTTCATTTGTACGTTTTTCATGAACAATTATCAACAAAATGTTGGATTTATTGAAAATTCATTTGCAGTCTGTTAATTTTTGATTGTTTATAAAAAAAAATAGTTCCTACAACAACATCCTATTGAAACTGTTTAGAAAACGATTCTGAACATTCGAGAATTTTTCCAATTTGTTTCAGATGTTGGAATGAAATGTTGATTAAAAAGGCGCTCAACAGCATATTTTGTCGGAGCGCCCAAAATGCTCGATTTCTAGCGCGCCGTCATTTTTACCTTTCCACGATAGAGAGGTGCTCTGGTGGACTTTTTTTGTAGAAAATTCGATTTTTAATGTTATTTTTAACGAGTGAGCTCGTTTTGGAAAATTTTGATTAGAAATATGTGAAAATTGTACATCACCTTTGTAGGGTGTTTACTTGGGGTGTGATTTTTACTGTAAAATAAAAGTACAAGAACAACTAATATTAGTAGATCGTTTATTAAAAGTGACAAATTCAAATACAGAATCAATGAAAAGACGTCTAATGTTAGCTAGTCTTAGTCTTGAACTGGAGATAAACAAACATTCCCGTCGTTGCTATAAACAATCTCATCTTCAAGCAATCGTCGTCAACTAACAAACTTCTGTTAGTCAATCAATCTATAGATGGAGACATTCATATAATTTACACTTTTCCCGATCTTTTAAAAATTACCTCCTGACAATTTCTAATAGCTGAGTGTCGATATTGGATTATGCCGGAATAAATAAACATGCAAAATCAAAAATTAAATTTCTAATTTGGAATTATAAAAATTCAATTAATAATCATTCAAAATTATAAAGATGAATCAAGTAATCATCCAGCCTAGATTTCATCATCGCCGCTTCCCAACTCTGCGTGTTTGAAAATAAATAAAGCAAATCATTCTGGCGGAAAAAATTCTGCAGCGGATAAAAACTTCCAAAACACGCCAGAATAATCTATATTAACTAATAATGTGACTCTATACAATTTAAAAATCTTCGATACTAAGAGTCCGTCAGTCAAAATTCAAAACTTCAACAATCCTTCTTTCCTTCCTCCTTTTCCATCGAAAAGAATCCGGGAAGTAAAGAATAAAAATCCACAGGAGCTGGAAATACAAAGAATCTTTAAGGTCAAAACAAGGGAGATTTAGACAGATTTTTGAATATTTCTGCCGCATAAAAATCATTGAGAAATTCTCAATTGTAATTCAAATTCTTTTTTTAAAAAAATTTAATTCAATGGTTTTACTTTTTGGAGTAAATATCTCCAAATTAATAATCGACTACGCATTCTATTCATAAAATCAGACTTTCATAATCACAAAAATAATCGTTACATATTACTCATCTTCCAAGGAATCTCCAAAAACACAAGTTTAATAGTCTCATCAACTATTAGAACTTCATAGAATACCATAAACACTTAGTACCTAACTTAACTTTATTATGGCCATTAATGAAGGAAAGGTTATCAACACAAACGCTCCAACCGTGTATATCCTGTAGTAACTCCACGAGAATGCTTTGATCAATGAAAGCCAACATTCCAAGATTGGAAGTTACAAAAACCCTGAATTCAACAGAAATTAGGAATCCAGGAAGAGACAACAATCGTCATCATAAGGAGCGAGTCTATTTATATGAACCACCTTTGAACGACCATTCGTAATTTTCTGAATTCTAAAAACAACTAAAGGTAACCTTAATTCACGACGTAACATTAATAATGCTGGAAAAAAATTCTATATTCTCACATCTGGAAGAACGATGAGCTAACAAAAATAGAGGAATCCACCATCCTAATCTTTTTGATTTTTATAAATAAATTTTGATAAATATTAAAGAATAATCCTATGTAACCTTTTGACTAAACCATTAGATTGAGGATGAAGAGGTGTAGTTCTAGTCTTTTCAATACCAAAAAGATTTATCACCTATTGGAAAATTTCTGATTCAAACTCTTTACCTGGATGGAAATGAATTTCTAAAGGGACACTATATCTACAAAATATTCGAGAAACTAAAGCTTCAGCAATAGTAGAAGCCTGATGATTAAAGGAAGGAATTGCTCCAGGCCATCTAGTAAAATAATCAGTAACATGATTGATTTAACTAAGGAATTTATTTCAAAAATACATTCTTTATAAATTTGTGCAAAAACAACCTCTAAACTAGTTTTGATATTTGAGATCTTCATTTCCGCAGTCTCGAGAAAATCAGAATCAAATTCATCGCCAGAAACTTTAAAAATAGAAAGAAAGAAAAATTATTTGCTCTATAAAACTACTTATTAAAAAGAAAAGAATTAACAACTGTAATATCAGCAGCAGTATCGACTAACATATTACACTTTTTACCATTAATTACCCCTTTAAGTATTAGTGAAGGCTCAAATAAAGAATCCGAATCTTAAAGAATCTTCGAAGAACTAACTGAATTATGATTTAATTCTAACGAAATTTTTTTTTGTAAGAATTTACAGTTGAAGAGTTACCGATACTTTTGAAAATTATTTCTTGAACTAGCTCAAACAGCTTGAAGAACGTGACAATTATTTCTCAAATGACCTTTCTGTCCACAAATCCAACATTGAAAACCTTGAGAAGAATTTCCATTATTAAATTTCCTGAAATTTTTTTTAGAAAAATTAAAATTATTATTATTTCGGAAATTCCCATCATTGTTATTATTATAATTTTTATTATTGAATAATTCATTTGAAATTGAATTTTTATTATCTTTATGATCATCATTTCCAATAACATGATCATTTAACATCTTCGGCTTCGAAACATAATTTATCAATCGACGCCCATTCGACAGCCCGTTAAGTCGCAGATTGAAGAAATTCTAATCTTCCTGATCGTTAATAGGGTTGTTATTTTGGATTATTTAATCTTGCAATAAACTGTAATCTGACCATTCGTTCTCTTCAATCACCTGAAATTCCCGGATACGCATATTTAACGAATTTATTCAAATTGTTGAAAAAATCAATTAAACATTTATTTTAAGACTCAAATAAGCCCTAGAAAATTGAACTTCACCGAAACAGTTTTCTAAAGATTTCGATAATACACTAAAATTTCTTGAATCATCTACGCTCAAGTTTTCTAAAATTTCCTGAGTTTTGTCCTTCAAACAGAACACTATAATTGAAGCTTTAACCTCATTCGACGAATTATGTAATTAAACGACGGTCTCAAATTGACGTGTATAAGATTCCCACGTCTCAAAACCATCATTATCTTTTTGCGAAAGATAATGAATTCCCGACGGACGATGATGAGACCGATTCGATAAAATTTGAATTTAAATTAGAAGAATTATTAAGAGTAACAATTCCTGAAGAATCATTCGTCAAATGATGATTATCATTGTTATTTGAATTGAGATTATTATTATTATCTCCTTTCGGCTCGTTATAGGTATCTGGCCAGGGATTCTAGAGCTCTGACCTACCTGGGACCTGACCAGACAGGATTCTCATGCAGACACCCGACTCGCTCAGGTTCGAGAGTGAGCCAGGGCTGCAGCCGTTCAGTCATTGTTTACAGTCGTCTCAGAATTCGGAAAGAACCAAGGATGACCGCTTTCTGCATACGAGCCGCGAGAATCTCAGCCTGACTACGGCAGACTGGTATTGTTCGAAGCTCTGTCAGAAAGCGGTCTCTCATCCCTCCGAGGGCGCCAATCACCAGGACTATCACGTGCGCTGTGTATTCATGATAGACATTTCTCATGACCTCCATG